CACACACACACACACACACACACACGCACACACACACACACACACACACACACACACTGCAGACTGACAGAGGGAGAGCATCGCGTGACAACAGCAGCTCCCGCAGCCAGCACCACTCGCCCACACACTCTCTCGCTCTCTCTCTGTGTGTGTGTGTGTGTGTGTCTCGCTCTCTCTCTCTCTCTGTGTTTGTGTGTGTGTGTCTCTCTCTCTCTCTCTCTAGCTCTGTGTGTGTGTGTATCTCTCTCTCTCTCCTCTGCTGGTTGGTCAGAGAGTTTAGTGGGCAGGGCTAGGTAAGTGAGTGTCCAGTCAGTGGGTGTGGCTGAGTGAGTGGGTGTGGCTGAGTGAGTGGGTGGGGCTGAGCTGGTGTCAGTGTGTGTTCGCTCACAGGAGCTTCTGTTTAGTAGAGCTGCAGCTGTATGGAGCTAATAATCTGCCAAAACAATCTGAACTTGGATTGTGTTCATCTGAGTTATTGACACTGTAATTATAATAAAGCTGGAGTTTTATATGTTGATAAAAAGTTGTTTTGAGTTTGAATTTCATCACTTGAATGTTGAAGATGAGAAATGTAAGACAGCCGAGTCGATCAGGACGGAATATTGTACAGACGCATTCTCAAACTGCAGCTGTTGAGTGTTCTGGACTGCAGGCGTCTGGATTCAGTGTTCCAGATGGAGAAATTCAGAACATCAAATAAGTCAAAAGCAGAAATTCAGCAGAGAGGTCAGAGGTCATCATCAGGGCAGAGCAGACGATCACCAAAAAGCCAAACAAAGCATTTTGGCCAATCCCAGAGCTGCGTGAGTTTAGTGGTGTGTGTGAGGCTCAGGGTCTGTGTGTTGACTATTGGGGTCAGCTTTTGTCTGTAGTGTGTGTAATATATATATATAGATGCTTCAGTCAACCAAACTCATACATTTAATTGAGTTACAGCTCACTGGTTAATCAATTTTATTTGCGTTGTTGATGTTTTGAGGGATAAAGAGCTGATTCTGACCTACTGTGACCCCTGCTGGGTTAATTCAGCTTCACTAAACTCACATTTAAGGGCTTTTCCAGCTCTTGTCATGTGTATTTTCCGTCTGCTCCAGCATTTTACAGCGGTGGTGAATGAGATATCTGCATGCACACTTCATCATCAGATTACAGAGGATACTGCTTATTACAATATTCTATAGTACAGCACAGCATGTAGTATAGTAAAGGTATAGTACAGTGAAGTACAATAAAGTATAGTATAGTAAAGTATAATATAGTCAAGTACAGTATAGTGTAGTAAAGTATAGTATAATATAGTAAAGCATAGTGTAGTATAGTAAAGTAAAGTATAGTATAGTACAGTATAGTAAAGTATAGTATATTACAGTAAAGTATAGTGCAGTAAAGTAAAGTACAGTAAAATATAGTATAGTACAGCATAGTAAAGTATAGTACAGTATTGTACAGTATAGCAAAGTATAGTATAGTAAAGTATAGTACAGCATAGTAAAGTATAGTACAGTATTGTACAGTATAGTAAAGTATTGTATAGTAAAGTATAGTAAAGTATAGTACAGTAAAGTAAAATATAGTGAAGTATAGTATATTACAATATAGTATAGTGCAGTATAGTATAGTACAATATAGTAAAGTATAGTATATTACAGTATAGTATAGTGCAGTATAGTACAGTATAGTAAAGTATAGTACAGTACAGTAAAGTATAGTACAGTATAGTGAAGTATAGTATATTACAGTATAGTATAGTGCAGTATAGTACAGTATAGTACAGTATAGTAAAGTATAGTACAGTATAGTGAAGTACAGCATAGTAAAGTATAGTATAGTGCAGTATAGTAAAGTATAGTACAGCATAGTAAAGTATATAGTAAGGAACATGTTAATGATTTGTTTGCCCATCATCAGCACTGAAATGCCGTCTCTCTTAAACATCATCTCTTCATATCTCACATGTCATATTTAACCTACATTTATATTTCTTTGAATGATCTGATTTTCCATATGATGGATCATTCTGTTGAAGTGTGCAGAGTGAGCAGAGCCGGCGTTCAGCTGACCCTCATGATTAGACGTGCAGAGTAAAGCGGAGTAAAGCGGAGTAAAGCAGAGTAAAGCGGAGTAAAGCAGTGTAAAGCAGAGTAAAGCGGAGTAAAGCAGAGTAAAGCGGAGTAAAGCAGAGTAAAGCGGAGTAAAGCGGAGTAAAGCAGAGTAAAGCGGAGTAAAGCGGAGTAAAGCGGAGTAAAGCAGAGTAAAGCAGAGTAAAGCAGAGTAAAGCAGAGTAAAGCGGAGTAAAGCGGAGTAAAGCAGAGTAAAGCAGAGTAAAGCGGAGTAAAGCGGAGTAAAGCGGAGTAAAGCAGAGTAAAGCGGAGTAAAGCGGAGTAAAGCAGAGTAAAGCGGAGTAAAGCAGAGTAAAGCGGAGTAAAGCAGAGTAAGGCAGAGTAAAGCAGAGTAAAGCGGAGTGTTTCTGAAGTGTTGACGGTTCTGTTCTGTTTCAGTGTTGGCTCAGGAAAACCCCTGCGAGACCCAGACGAGCAAGAACCAGCAGGACACACCAGCGGCCTGCGTCCCGGAGAGCCAACTGCTGCTAAAAGTGTGTGTGTGTGTGTGT